AGCAGTGTACTGTGGTAACATACAGTCATTTGGAATATATAGTTAGCTGGCAGTCATGCAACATCATACTTTAATGTTGTGGAAAGCACAACCAAACTTAAAATGTTTAGTTATTTTCACTCATCTTATTTTGTGCATTTATGAACAACCAGAACACAAACTTAATTACTTAAGAATTGAACAAAGTGTAAAATTTTTGTTTGGGATAATGGGTTTCTGTGCTAAACTACAGTGACCAGGTGTCCAAAAAGGTTTTCAACAGTGTCAGATCTCAAAATCTGATAAATGTTAATTCACATTGTTTTAGAAACTGTGATGACTTTAAATGCAGTGCAAGTAAAACATCTTCCCATAAGTAATATGAAAATGCTGTATGATAAATTTTTAACCTTTATTTAGACTTTCTCAAAAAACCCTTCAAACATTTTATTGATGGTGTAACACAGTAACAGTGTTTACAATTAATTTAGCAGACATGTCAGTCAATAACAGTACCAATCCGCATGATTTGTTTTTACTTTATACTGAATGAATATGAAACAACACTTTTTTTGTACATATTCAATGTCCTAAACTTTTGTTTACAAAATGTAATGACCCCAGAGTAGCAGGTCTGCCACATGCTGTGCACACTTGTATCTTTTGTCAGTAGAGTTTATTCCCATATCATTCTTAAGTGGAAATAAAAACAAAGCAATTTTAGAAATAATTTGTTACAATTAATTAATAATACTATACATAATGTTGAACATCTTTTTTTCTTTCAGTACACATTTCTTTCCATCAACAAAATTCAATGGCATTCTTCTGAGACTTCGGGAACACTGGTCTGGTAAGATAACAATTATACACCCTATTATAATTTTAAACTGGGTGAAAAGACTGCCACCTTGGTGAACTTTGAACCCACATCTTCTGTCTACTGCATCAGTAATATACCAACTAAATTATTTACCATAACAGATCATTTGTACCTTAGCTGGTAGAGAAGCTTTTTAGTTTGCAGAAGATTTAAGTTACATACTGTCAGGTCAGCAGTTTTTCACTCTTTTAAAACAAATGTATCATTGTGTAAGATTACATGTGAAATTTTGAAACTTAAGTTATATTTACATAATACTGACCCCATTCCTATATCTCACCAAATTACAGACTCACTCTTTGCACAGAAATTAATGATGAATATTAATATGTGTAACGAAAGTGGAATCCATTAAGTAATAATTTATATGCAGAGTTTGGAACTTAAGTCAATCAGATTCTAAAAAGTTGGTATGATATACAATACCCTTTGTCATTAAATGTTAAATGGAAATTTTTTAAACTTTTTCTGCCACTGTTTGTGTTGTCTGTTTATTGTGAACAGATACATAAGTAAAATAGGTATGGGGCATTTGTCATCTCACATTCTACTACCAAGTAATGGTGACTGCCATCATGATGGAAGAACAGTCTAAAACAATATGACACAGATGTATTTCAGATTTACATTAAGAGATGATAAAAAACGACTGTACACACTCATCCATGTCACTTGAAGGTATTATGCCTTTAACCCTTTAAAGTCTCATGGTGACTATGTGTACCATCTGCTTTACAAATCAGTAATGCTATATTTTATTATTTATGAGTTTTGTGTGGTTCTTGGTGTATACAGCTGCAATTCCCTTAAACAGTATTGACCAGTTAATATTTGTTAGTGTGAAATGTTGTGCTTTCTTTGAGGTATGGACTGAGTTCTTAAATATTACTCAGATGAGCTTCAGTTCAAGAGGTTAATATGATGTAAATACCATTATATTATCACTGAAGTCCCTGTATCTTACAAGACTATTGAATATACATGATTTTAAGTAACAGAGTTTCTAGGAAAACCATAGTAAAAATATCCAGTACAAACCAAATTTTGTCTCATCAATATGTTTCAATATAAAGTGCATTTTAAAGTTAACAAAAACCTGTTCAGTTACAGAATTCTCCATTAAAAAAGTGGATTTACCATCCCTTTCAATATCCCTTGTTGTACAAAGTGATCTTATAGTAGAAAGGCATTTACATTGATTATAGTAAAATTGAAACCTATTGAACTGTCACTGTGTTAACACAGAATCTGAATGCCTGGGACTCTAAGTATGGAAACTCACCTTTCTTGGGACACAGACAATTCTGCTGTGAAATTAGACTCTACCTTGCTCCTTCTCAAAGATTTCAATAGTAAACAATGTAGTTTCAAGATTAAATAAGAGCAATGCATAATCTGAATGAGAGATCTTGATAAGTTCTTCGGTCCGACAGTTAATGCAATGCAGGAGCCAGAAAGAGACCACTGGTTATGTGCTGTATGTGTTTTTCAAGAGGTAGACTCTCAGTAAACTGGAATAGAACTGTCACAGTATTAATTGTTTACAGACTTCAAATGGGAATACAGAATGTAGTTCCTTTCAACATTACTGCTAGGCAATTCCATTATTAGCGGTTGTAGTTACATACCATGCACTTGAATTGGGAATTAAAGTGAATCTAAAATTTTAACAAGAATTGATTGCATGTGATGTAGTCATTAGCTCGACTTTTTTAAATTTTAATATAGGCATTGAATATTTCTTTTTGAATGTGCTTCAGATTTAGAATGGTGCAAGGAAAATTTAACATTGTTTTCTGCACTGATTGTTCCTGAAATTTCTAGTGTTGTAAGAATGTAGATTTTGACCTGAGTTCTGATACCAAGTAGTCTTGTAGAAGGTAACCAACATTTTTGAATGGCATATCATTTCCATTTTCAGTAATCATCTTCTACTCTGAAGATGGAGGTGATATCTTTCTTTGTGATATTGGTAATCATCTGCAAGATTACATGTGTTCACAACCTCAAAGATTACACTCCACATTTTATAATTTTGTCTGCAATCCTCTCCTTGGGTGCGTCTTAATGGCTTTGTAACTTGTATTCAGATTAGTTCTGAAGGATTCTGATGATTGTATATTACAATTAATATTACTGGATTTCTGGGCTTTGTCCAGCATTCTGAACAGAACACAGTGTTTTGGAAACTGGATGTCTTACCATTCTCAGTTCAATAGTCCAGTCAATTGTTTGATATTACCTCTGTTTAATGGAGGATGGGAACATCCAGTTTTTCTGTTCAGAATACTAGATGGAGAAAGTTCAGTAACCATAATATTATAAAATTATTTTAAATTACGCTTTTGCTATATTTCTGTCTTGTATTGAACAATTTTTTTTGCTGTGGATGAAATCTGGACTATGCCATCACATCAGCTGATAATACCACAAGATTCCTTGTTCACAGTTGCTGATGCTACCTTGATATTCTTACCCTTTAAGTGGTCACAGGCATGATAATTTATCAACCCGTATTCATATTAGAATGTTGAATGATAAAAATGAAAGAAGTCTTACCCACAGGCAGTTATTGCTTGCATAACTTAGGCTCTGTTTTTTGTTTCACATAAGTGAATCCACCGTGCACTTATCTCTGCAGCTGTTCTTTTTAAAATACACATTAAGTACTGATAAAGTGTCAACTAATAGAATATGGGCGCAAATTCTCTGGATTGTTGCAAATATATTTAATATTGGAAAATCTACTTATCTATTATGAATGACACACATTACAATGCTCAAGAAAGCATTATTATACACACAGATTACATATCAATAGAAAGAATGTGTTTGAAGACTGTAAATGCTACTATGGTGTGAATATGTTTCATGATGGTGAGGAGGAGGATTTGAGAGGCACTGGTTCAGCCAGAGGTGTGTTCAGCATGGATGAGTCATCCAAACGAGAGGGTTCAGGTTGTCTGATGGGGGATGTATGTACAGGTGTGTTAGGGTTTTCTAATAAATCAGGTACATTGATGCTTGAAAATGAAGATTCTGTTGGTACAGGTACAGGTGAAAGTATTGATTCCTTTGAAGAAGGTTCAGGCACTGTTACTGGTTCGGATGATGCCGATTGTGGCTGTGGTGATGACCTCGTGGATGAAGATGGTTTAATGGTGATGTGTTCCCGGCTAGCATGGAGCACCACCTGGTAGCGATGTCGATAAGATTGCTCACAATGTTCGCACTGAAACTTAGTCCTGGTGTGTCGCCATAGCTGGTGGGATGCCAAACTGGCTGCAGTGTGGTAAGGAAATGTGGACATTTCCTGCCGACACCAATTGCACCTCAGACCTTTCCGTGCCAGAAGCAGTTCGACATATTTGTCCCTGAGTTGTGACATTTCTGCAGTACTGGTCCAACATTTTCTCTTTGGTAATCGGCTCCTGAGGAACCCCGGGTGGCGCAAGACTTGGATCTCCGCCTCCGAATCAAGAACATCTGGAACAACTCTCCTTGGTTGGCTCTGTTTTCTGGAACGTTTCGATCCCGCAGTTCCATCACGACTGCTGTGGTCTTCTGCCCTCTGAAGCAAGGTAGAATGGTTCATATTTGAATCAATCAATCCACTATTACTGCATCTCCTGTTATTGCATACATTGTTTTTCACACTGTCTTTTACCGTTCTGGCAAAATGTTTCCTGAAGATTGCGTCGCACAAGGTACACTTATCCAGTGCATCATGATGCTGCCCTTGGTGGCGTTCGACCGCATCTCCCTTACCGAACGCCAACCCACAGTGGGGACATCGAGCTATACAGCAGCCACCTTCGTCCCGGTGCAGCGTCGCGACGTGTTGTCGCAGGGCATCAGCGCCTAGAGGCGTTGAGAAGTCACAGCTTTCTGCACGGCAGTGGACCAGAAGTCCCGTGTGGGTACGCATATGTTCCATTATGGCCATTTGCGATGCCAAGCTGCACCCGCAGACACTACACTGGTACGGCAGGGGCTTATTGCTACTGCTGGTAGTCTCCACCGCAGGTAATAGGCGTTTGGTATGGTGATGTGTGTAGTTGTGTGTCTCGAGCGAGGTATCGTCCACAAATTCACAGCCACACTCACGGCAGATGAATGGAGGTGGCTCCTCTTCTTCCTCCTCTGGGTAGTCGGTCCCATTCTCCTCAGGATCAGATGTGTCCGAGGCCTCCATGTAGTGGAAGAGCCGTGCAGCACCATAGTGTTGCTTCGCTGCCCGCATGTACTGCTCATCTCCAGAGATCTGGTGGCCATGTAGAATAGGAGGAGGCACCAGACGACCATGTTGTTGCAGCACAGCACTAGCTGTGACTGCCTCCAGCTCGAAATGCTCGCGTTTTACCAGGCTGTGGCCATTGTTGGTGGAGCCAACATTCTGGTTCCTGCAACAGGCAGGGGTCTACATCAACCAATTAATACAACTTCTGCCCATATGGAAGTGCTGCATCTAGATCCCTGTTGTATTCACCTCTTCTTATCTTATAGTAATGGAGCAACGGTACTGAGGCATCTTATTTAAAGCCATGGGTTCGTATAATTCTTTAAACTAGGTAGAAATGATAACATAAAGTGTTTTCACTGTGTGATAGAAACACCAAAATACTGGAATGACATAGTCTCCTCCCCCAAAGTCTGTCCAGAAGTAAATAATTCTGGTCTCTTGCACAAGTTATGATAGCTGTAGAGTGAGACTGAGTCTTTTGGTATTGTGGCCTAAAACGGGCCCATGGTACAAGCCCCAGATGATGAGGGTGAATATAGTGAGTAAGGAACTTTGGTAGAGTTATGATTCACAGGGGGGAAACAGAAGTACTTGAAGAAAAATCTGTCCCAGTGCCACTTTGTTAATTGAAAATTCCACATGGACTGCTCTAAGACTGAACTAGGACATTTGTGGTTTGCCTGAGCTATTGCAATTAGAGCTTGAGAATTATGAGAACAATGTGAATAAAATTACTTATTCAAAGCTGGCAAAGTGTTTCACCAATAGCTGTTCTTCAGTTTCTTGTAGGTAAAGATTATTTCTTCTCACAGCATCAAATTTGAGAATCTACAGTTAAATTAAACAATTTTTGGGCAATGATTCCAATAATTTCCCCAGTTTTATCTACAACATCTAGAATAAACATTAAATAAATGTCATTTTGTCACAGTTGTAATTATCAACAGAATATGGGCTGTAATGATGACGAAGTTGCCAGAAATTTCATTTTGCATGTAATACATTAGATAATGAGATATTCAAGTCTAAGAAATGTGGCCACAACACTCGTACCGTTGTCTCAATTACTGTAACTTGGTTGTTTATTTCCTAACGTAAATGAGAATTGTATAAAGTTAGGACACACGTTCTATAAAACGTTAATGCTATTTCCATCATTAGTGACATTAATGGATAATAGGAATTACATAAATATTTCTGAGACAAAAGCTATGGAAAATGGAAGTAATCTTTTTCTTACCCAAAGGAGCCAGGCATTGGTGGTGGATGGCTTGTGAAGCCAACATTTCGAAGGACGTTGTTGGAAGAACGATTGTTTCTATGTTCCAACGGACTGCGAACAGTGAGAAAGGAGGGTTGTGGTTAGGGTGATTGTTAGAAACACAGGTCATGTTTTTCATGTATAATTCACACACATTAGGTGGTAGCAGAGTGAAGATGAAGAGTGAACAATAGCATCATTATAACAGCAAAGTGCGGTAGTGCGAGCGAGCCAGAAACAGAGGTCTGAATCACAGTTGGTGTTGTGTAGTGCGTTATCGGACGGGCTTGCAGTTAACAGCAGTTTTTTAAGGGTTGGTTAGTTTGGTTAAGTTTTGATCACTGTCAGCACAGCCAGCAAGATGGTACTTACTGGTGCTCTTGGAGATGAACGCTGAGCTGAGCTTGGTCATCTGCTAGGAAGGAACACCGGCCACATGCCCTTTTGTTGTGCACTTTGAGTACGTGGGTTGCGAGTCGTTCAGAGCGAGCCGCCTTGTAGTCGCACAGAACACATACGAATGGTTTCAGATGCGTATTGAGGTGACGCTTCAGGCACCAGTTATCAACACCAGACCACGCACAATAACAGCACGAATAACGCTTTTCACCCTTCTTCTTCGTCTTGCTTCCGTGAGACTTGGCGTTGCAGCCGTTGTGATTGTGCTGCTGTGGCTGTGGGGGAGGTGGCTGTGTTTTGAGTTTACTGATCGGTGGAGGATTCGTACCAGTTCTCAGGCCAATCGAGGAGAATCCTCCGGGGATGTTGAGATTATGGTGGTGGTGAACTTGGTGGATCGGCGGTGTCATTATTGCTTGGTGGTTGTTTTGGTTGTCTTGCTGACGATGCGTGTTGTTGGTCCCGGGTGTAGTCGAGTTGTTATTATATTTGTGATAGTAAGACATGCCGCTGGCGTTCTTAGGTGGTTGGCGTCGTATGCGGTTGAGATCGTATGGGTAATCTCGGTGCATGCGTAGGAAGTGTTTCTTGACGTGGTCTGCGCGGTTGAACTGTTTCTGGCACACATAACACTGGAAAGGTTTCTCCTCGCGGTGGATGTTCTCGTGGCGCGTGAAGAGGTCACGCCGATCGGTGGCGTACGGGCAGTACGTGCAGCAGTAACGCTTTGTACTCTGATTGTCGGTCGAGGTGTTGGTCCTACCACCACTCGGAGGCTGATGATGGAAATCTTGCTGATGTTTCTGGTTGTTTCCCCCACTACTGCTATTGGCTGGCAGAGGTGCCGTCTCCACTTTTGTCTTCAGCCTCTGTAAATATTTTGTAACTTCTTCTAGGACGGGGTTTTCTTTATACAAGGTAGCCACGCCGTCCCCGGGTGCCTCCGTGACGTTGTGCTGGCGAGTGAGGTGCATTCTCACGCAGCGCGCCCAGGCACTCGAATACGGGCACTGAGGACACTGAAACACCCGCAGGTTGGCGTGGGTTCCAAGCCAGTGCTCAGCCACGCGGGATAGGAAACCCACACATTCACATTCGGAGCAGCGAAACAGTTTCTGGGCCGGGTTGTAGCTAGCAATCTTGGAGCTGGTCCACTGAAGCACTTCTTCGCTGGGAACCCACTTGTCCTCTGCCGTGGCCACCGTATTACTGTTGCCAGCGGTGGTGGTGTTATGTTGATGGTGATGTCCACCCCCGCCAACTCCCGCAGACCCGCCTCTGTACTTTGCCTCTTGAAAATGATGTGCACTCAACATCCCCGGAGGCGGGGGGAAACCGTTCTGCATTAATGCCGCCAGTCCGAAAGCCGTTAAAGCACCACCATGTGAATGATGCCCATCGTCGGGTTTGAACCCACCACCATTACCCTCCCCTTCATAGTCTGGCATCACACCTACGCCTGCTGCTGCAACGGCGGCGGCCGCGGCCGCTGCGCGCATGCTTGTCGCTATTCCGCCCTCACTCCCACCTCCACTATTACTACTTCCTCCCCCCGTACACCCTTCCCCGTTCGTGTCCGGCAACCCTTCTTCTCCGTATAGTTTCCTCGTGATTTCCTTAAACATGTCTTCGTAACAATCCATATTGGCTG